CTACTTTGCATATTGCAACTATTAAGTTCTTACATGACATGTATGTTCGAACTCTTATTTGATCGTAGTTCAGTGTACTCGATTACTCTTTCGAGCACCTATGTGTTTGCCTTAGTGTCCAACACCAAATGACTTGAGACTAGTTCATACTCACGCTTGAGTCGACATAACACATACTAACCTTAGCGGATTGTCAATGCCCAATTGGCAATCCTATGGCTAGGAACGTTTTAGGAATGAACATAAGAGAAAGGTCTCGTTAATTTAACTAACTTAAATCACTTGTCTCTTAGATCAAATACATTCCTTGGATTCCCTTATTGCTTAAACACAAGATACTATAAATAGTGATTAACAATAAGCTTTGCCCTTCTATTAAACATATAAAAGTTTAACACAATAAGTATTCCAAAAAGCTATTACATCAAATGAGTGGCTTTGTGGGCATACTTCCAACATCTTCATGCATCAAAGTAAATACTTCCTTGATCTTCTTAACAAGGCAAACATGGCAGGTGCCAAACCGTGTGTCACTCCACTTGGTACCACTAAACTTGATCACAGTGGTTCTTTACTCTCTGACCCCACTGAATATCGATCTCTGGTGGGTGGCTTACAGTATCTTACTTGGACAAGGCCTGATCTCTCTTTTGCTGTAAACCAAGTGTGTCAGTTTATGCATTCCCCACGGGCCCAACACATGCAGGCTGTCAAACGCATTCTTCGGTTTTTAAAAGGCACCCTTACACAAGGTCTTTGGTTTAAAAAGGGTTCTCTTGACCTCACGGTTTACTCTGATGCTGACTGGGCCGTTTGTACCTTTGATAGAAGGTCTACTACTGGTTTCTGTGTTTTTCTGGGTCCAAATCTGGTTAGTTGGAATGCTAAAAAGCAACCCACTGTTGCCAGATCTTCTATCGAAGCTGAATATCGAGCTTTAGCCCACACTGCAGCTGAAATCACTTGGATTTGCAAAGTGTTTTCTGATATCAACTTTCCTTTGTCTAAAGTTCCCACTCTTTGGTGTGATAACATTTCAGCTATTTCTCTTGCCTCCAATCCTGTGTTTCATGCTCGGACAAAGCATGTCGAAGTGGATTATCATTACATTCGGGAGCTAGTCTTGGCACATTTGATTAAAGTTCTTTATGTCTGCAGCCAAGATCAATTAGCTGATATTCATACCAAATCTCTATCAAAACACAGATTCTGTTTTTTGCAATCCAAGCTTCCTCTTGGCACTTTTCCTGTCCCCAGTCTCAGCTTGAGGGGGTGTAAAGAGTCTAGTGGTAATTGTATAGTTGGAGTTAGTTAGACAAGGGTAGATGTGTAATTAATTGATGTATGTTGAGGTCAGTTTTGTCAATAGAATTGTATCTATATATCCTGATGTAAATGTATTGATTACTGTTTTTTTGTGAAATGAGAAGAAGATATTTTTTACATCTCTGAGTTCTTGAAAGCAAAGATTCAATAATATATACATTTTTTTTAATAAAGAACCAACGGGTAGCTTCGTCCTAGCAGTTCATTCTTTCGGAGACCAAGAAGATGACATAAACATTTCAGTCTTCTTCTAACTACAATCAGACATTTTGTGTTATATAGAAAATGTCCAACGCTAATTTGGCTAATTAAATGCTTATCAAATAAGTAGAATAATATGGCATTAGCATTAGCATTAGCATAACCCCATTAAATATTAAACATATATACTAACACATTTCTTGGTAAAAACGGCGGCCTCATTATTTAGTTGTAGTTCATACGGTCTTTAGTTGAATAACTCATCATATTTCTTCATATACCATTTATTTAAGAGGTATAAGCGGACTCATCCTCCATCATTTCCACAATTTTGGTCATGAGAATCCAGCAGATTGCAGTTTTAGCTCCTTCAAGCTCTTCCTGCTAAATCTCCCACTAGTTTTTTCTTGATGACCAATTAGGTACGGTAAGTTCTTCATACACCAATTCTCAAGGATCGAATGTTTTTATGCACACTCCAAGGGCAATTTTTCTTTGGAGCTTCGCTGCACTTAGAGCAAACAATGGTACTCCACGTTTCTCGTGTTTGGAGTGGCAGTGTGCGCTACGAGCGGTAGGGTTTGTGCTCGGATGTAGGGGAGTGGTAGTGTAACAGATTCAAGTTACTGATACAAACTTTATAAATACAATCTTCTACTCAATTGTTTTAGAACCAGTGAACTGCATTTCACGTGATGGGGTTCCTTCACAGATGCTCGTAAGCCATAGTGAATTGCTTTGTAAATGTGCAGCTGTGGATGACGTAGCGGAATAGAAGCTACATTGTTCATAGCCAGTGAACTGGGAAGATGGCATAGCCAGATGAATATATGAGCCTACTTGCATGTTGCTTATAAACACAGTACTCTTTTCCAATTAACCGTATGAACATTTTTTATTTTATAGAAGCGATATTGTGAGAGGAGGGAATCATTGCTCGGGACCTCAAATGCAAAGGGTGAACGCTTATAATCAACTAAGCTATAAGCCCGTTGAAAGCCAAAGCATTTAAAGGTCCAAAATGCCCTTTAACACCTCCAATCTCTTCTTCAAGAATCTATAGGATCCGGAAAAAGAATTAAAAACCATGTACTGAAGAGACAACAACAAAGAACATTCATTCTACAAAACATAAACAAAGTCGAATGGTTTACCTTGTCGTAGAATTTGGCTTTGAATTTCCCAGCACGATGATCAGTTCTGGTGACATCTCCTGCATACTGACCACCACCAAGTACCACCTGGACAGCAACAAAAAGCATTTTGTTTTGATTAATTGCGCGTAAATGAGAGATGCGATGGAACTAAGTGTGTTGATTAAGTATAATCAAATCGTCAAACTTAGAACTTATGCAGGAAACTTTTTGACTTGAAACAAGTTGGCAAGAAGATAATGCAAACCCATTTGAGATGAAATGTACTTACATGATCAAGAAGAGGAGACATTGCAACAGCATTGACTGGACGCTCTGTCACATAGGTCTTGATAAGTGTCAACTCTCTAGTATCCCAAAGCTAAAAAATACGCAACAGAAAACCCAGTTCAGTAAAGAGTACAGAGCCGGCAACAACTCAATACGAACAAAAGAAAGGCGGCGAGTATGAGATGCATTGCCTTGGCAGATTGATCAAGGGAACCAGTTAGGAAATGTGAACCATCGGCGGATTTTGTAAGTGAAGTTATCGTCTTTTTGTGACCCACTTCCTGGTCGTTCTCCTTAAGTAATTTACCGGTCTGCAATACAACAACACAACGCTCATTGCCAACAAAGTTAACGAAGAGTTTCGAAATTTCAAATGCAAGAATTGAACAAGCCAACAATAACTCACCTCTGCATCCCAAATGCGAATAACTGCGTCTTCTCCGGCGCTTACGATGGTTCTGTTCGAAGGCCCCCAAACAGCTCTATTAATTCGTCCCTTAGGTCCCTTGAGAAACAAAATCGATTCACCAACCTCTGAAAAATCGAAACCAACGAATTATATATTACATTCAAAATTACATTCGAATTAGTTTAGCTTAAAGTAGTAATATCGCTCGTAATAAAAAAAACATCGTATTCAATTTCGTTTTATAAACTAAAAACAGGGCAAAGCAAATAAGAGGAGATTATTGTTACGATCTTCGGGGTCTCTGTCAATGCGCTTGACGTGAATCGCGGAAGTGACCCCCATGAAGGGGTCGGTGGTGATAACAGCCAGCCGATCGCCGACGGATAAGTCAACAGCCCTGGCCGGGGAGTCAAAGTTGAAGGTGAAGAGCAGTCGGCCGGTCTGAACGTCCCAAAGCTTGGCGGTCTGATCAGCGCTGCCAGTGATAAGGCGGGAGGAGTCCCGGGAAACGTCGCAGCACCAAACGGCGCCATTGTGGCCGCGATAGGTGCCGAGGTGCTCGCCATTGTCGGCGAACCAGACGGTGGGTTTGTGATCCTTGGCGCAGGAGAAGAGGAGGTCGCCGTCCCTGTTGTACTTGAGGAAGGTCAAGGGCCTCTCGTGCCCCTTCATCAGTATTGGCCTCAGGTTTGAATACAGCGGGAAAATCTAGAGGAATTTGGGGAACTAGGGTTTACAGTTTCCTAAGTCCTAATCCCAGCTATTTGTACCAGAAAAACTCCAAAACCCAATTGGGACTCGGAGTTCATATCCTCCTTCCCGCCAAAAAAAAAGTACTGTATTAAGAGAGTTTCTTGTCAACAATTATTTATTTATTATTATTATTTTTTGAGCTGTTGCGTTAGTGAATTAAATACTTAGGATGGTGCATCCAATTGAAATTTTAAGAGTTTTTAATTCTTATAATAGATTTAGGGATATCTAATCAGGCTTTTAAACGATCCTCTATAATTTAAAATGTATTAAATCATAATTTTAAGTGATTCAAAATGTATTTAATTCGGATTTTAAAGTTTATTAAAATTGTATTCAATTAGAAATTTATTTTAAAGAATTTGAAAAAGTTGAAGAATAAGAGAGAACTGAAGATATTTCGTAATGTATTTTAAGCATCCACAAATCTCACATTTGCTCATGAGATTGTAAGGGAATTGAATTAAAATTTTATCTGAAATCTCTCCAAATCTTTTAAATTCCATAAAAATGAATTAAAATCTCACAAATTCCCAATTGAATACTCTCCTTAGTTGAAGATCAAACTCAAACCATGGTATAAATGCATGATTACTTTCCATTATTGTGGTTAAGTATCATGCGTCTTGTCAACAAAAAAACACAAGCTAATTATATAGCATGGAAAAAATAGTGATTAACGAGGATTAAATAATAGAGGGTAAATTGAAAGCTACGTGAAAATTAGGAGGAAAATCAATAGTTTACTCTTTTAAGTATATCGAATATGGCGACACCCAATTGAAGAATTTGAATAGAAAACCCAGGTGTGGGTGTAGCAGAGAACTCTGATCGCTTTTGTTTGATTTTTCATATATGGCGACCAAAATCAACTCCCCATGGAAAACTAAACAAACACGAGAGATAGCACAGTTATGCAGCTGAATATGAGAAAAATATCCAAAACGCGCATCGACAACGAAGGAGTGTTCCACAGGATTCTGAATTAAGTCATCCAACTTGAAGCAAATGAAAGAAAATAAGACATTAAAGCATAAGTACTACTCTCTTAAAAAGTACATTAACAGGAGCAAACAAAACTGTTGCCAATCATATCCTTCCTAAGCCACAAGAGTGCTGGCGGTGGTCGATTCACTGCAAACAACAGAACCAAGGAGTAAGCATTCAAGGTAGCCGCTACAATTTCATTGCAAATGACACGACAGTTGACATGTAAACTTATAGTACAAGACACGGAACAACAACGATTTCATGGTGAGACCCGCTTCAGCCTAACAATGATTTATTACTTGTACAACAAGCATAACTATGAATTAGGAGGAAAGCCAACACACTTTGACATGACTCAAATTTCATTCTTCAAGGGAACAAATATTAGATTACCACGTTTAATAAGGTATTCCGATTTTGGATACGTAAGAACACCAGAAAACGAATTAGTTTACATAATACAGTACACAATTTGGTTAGGGCAGTGGTTTATGACTTATAGAATACATGAACTAAATCCAAGATTTGTAAAACCGCATCAAAGATTAAACTGCTGGGACCCATATCCAAAGTTTGATTTAGCAGACCTATGGCAGTGTTTATTACTTAACTATTCTGATAAAATTCTCAAGTGTTTTTTAGGCAATGACCCATCTGCGCATCTTCAAGTAAGATTAATGAAATCTATGACTACTTAAAATGAAATACAAAAAGGTACTTACTACTTCCAGACTGGTGGAAGCTTCTTTGTCTTCTTGTAGTAACGAGCAAGGCGATGGATTCTGCTCTCAACCAGAATCAGTCTAAATTTAGAATCCTTGTCCTTCCTGTTCCTCTCCAAATGCTTCCTGATTGAGACAGCCTTCTTGATCAGGTGGTAAAGATCCTCAGGAATTTCAGGGGCAAGACCTAACCACGCGAAAAGGAAAGTATAAGATATAATTTTCAAGATTTCTCCTATGAACAAAGAGGTTATTATGAAAACAAATTCAAGATACGCACCATGAGCCTTCAGAATACGCAAGATCTTGCTGCCAGTGACACTCTTCACCTGAGCAATACCGTGAGAATCACGAAGAATAACACCAATTTGAGAGGGTGTCAGACCCTTCTTGGCAAACTTGCAGATGTTCTCCTCAACCTAAAAGGCAAAAAACAACCTGATAAGCTATTAAACCATAATGCACAAAACACAAATAGAAATTTTGGTCTACTGCAGCAAGAGTGATACCTCTGGAACAATCAGGAGTTAAAAATAACCAAACTTCCATTTAGTCAATGGAGATTAAATGGAAAAAGGCATGCAGTAGACACAAAATCGTGTCACCATTCATTGTGTATTAACAGACCATATAAAACTTATTGAGTGAACACAGACCACAGAAACAAACAATTGAAGATTGGGTGAATATAAAATGGAAAGGAAAAAAAACACGGGAACTACTACCCAACAACATAAAAAGATAACAAGGTAACATAACATAGAAACTAAAAGTTAACTGCATCGCAAAGATGTAGCGGAATATAAGAAACAAAACTATAAGTTCGTTGCTAATTAAATTATCATTTATTACATAAGACAGCGATATCAAACTCCATGTTTTATTAGCTTCAACAAGATCAATTGTAGATCTTCATCAGTCAATCAATACAGACAGCACATCAAAAACAGATTAAACAACAAAGTGCGGCCTGGTTGCCAAAATTATAAAATACTACCCATAAAATGAAATCATAAAATCAGTTTAAATCTTTTAACATCCGAAACCAAATGGCAATGAACCTAGATTTTCCAACAATGGGGAACAAAATTGAGCTAAATATTCGAACTTTAGTCCATTTTCTCATCAGCCAAACAAATCTAAACACAACCCATATTCTCATCAACCAAACAAAAACCTAAAACAACCCAAATTAATTCAAGAGCTAAAGAGTTGGGGTTTTCTCACATCCTGTGTAGTGGTCTTCAACCAGCTAGGTGGGGTCCTCTTGTACGGCAAAGCCGAAGCTGAAATACCCTTTCTGCAAAACACCACAAAACACAAAAGCCACCATGAAAAACGGATCAATCCCAGTCAAATCAACGGCTCAAAGAGCACAAATCATCGGCTCACAGAACTTTGTTCAAAGAATGAGAAGAGAACGAACCCTCTGCTGTGCATACGCCCCATGATTGCCGGCTTGTAGTAGTGTATATGCAGCTGCTGGTGACTTTAGCTCCGCCGCTCCCTCTCTCTCTGTTGGTCGACCAGAAACGCTAGGTCCTATCAGTAACAACGAATATAAGCAAGGTGGTGGCTAGGGTTTTTAATAATTTTTGTTTATTGCTGTTCAGTCCTTGGGCTAGGGTTTTTAAGAATCTTTGTTTATTACTTCGGCCCGTGGGCTTAACTAATTAAATATTTGGGCCTACTTTCTTATGATTGTACTTATTTGGCCCTTGGGCCAACATAAGACTCAATAGTCATTTGGCAAACATACCAAAACTTCGATCTCAAAATCGTCAACCAAAATTTTATGAAATTACCATTTTAACTCTCCAATTAAAATTGAACATGAATAAGAAATATAGGCAAAAATGTAATTTTCTACACCTAAAATTTTGCTTTTTGTTTTTTCCTTTTCAAATCGTCACCTACATGTGGTTCTAACATATCTTTAATTAAAAATAAAAAATTAAAATTAAAGCTCTCTCCGTAGTCCCACATTCTCTCTCACTCTTCTCATCTCTCCTTTTATTTAAAAATAAAATAAAAAAATTTACACACACGCGCTCTGTGTGTGGCCATTTGCTAAGTCTCAGACCACGATTCATTTTGGCGTAAAAATTATTATTTTCCTAGTAAAGATTCATTGCCTACATATAGATTGATTCGGATCGACCTAGAGGCAAGGTAAACAAGGCAATGTATCTTGGGTCTCACTTTGAATCAAGCCTCATATTTTATGTTTCTTCATACCCTTCTATACATGTCTTGAAAATTTTCTTGTTCAATTATTATTGACAAAAGAGAAGAAAAAACAAAAACAAAAAAAAAATCTTTATTCTCCTAATCTTATGGCTAAACTAAGATCTATTAGTAGGACAAAGTTCAGTTGAACTGTGAATTATATCCACCAACTCCACAACCTAAATCATATGATCAAATGGACAAATGTAAGATATGTTAAGAGGGAGAAACATCTTTCACTTCATTTTTCATTGGCAATTGTACACACACATTTGTCTTTTGCGTTTGCATCCCTTTTGCATATACTACTGTATGAGCTTGTGAATGAATAGAGACTAATCTTTATCACTTTCCCAATTTAATTTGATCCGAGATATTCCCTAATGTAATCACACACTAAAAATGTTGTTAAGTCACCCCGAGCCTGCTTATGACTTTGTACATGATTGTTATGGAAGACAATCAAACCATTCTATGTCGATAATCGGGTTTCATTTGTGATACAAATACAAAAACTATATGACATAAGCAAAATGTTCTTGTTGGAAGACAATAAACAAATTCAGAAGGATGTGTGTACTTTTTATGCAGAAACTTGAATCTCAACACGCTTCTACAAATATGAACAACTGCTCTAACCCTTCGTGCACGTCTGGAACCTCACAGGTCGTCGGGTTGGCTATGGTATGTCGAGTTGCCCTTTGGTTTTTGCCTCCCAGACCTAGGGCCGAAAGTGATAGCCCTAAAGATCTAACTAGAGTATTTGAACTATGGAAAAGCTTGTGTTTCTTTTTGTATTATCTCTCTTTCACAAAGCCTCCTTATATAGTGGTTGGGAAGAGCGTACAAAGACTGAAAATCCCATGATAATCCCAAGTATATTCTAATATGAATATCTCTTGATTTTCATCTAATTATCACATAGATAATTAAGAGGTTAATATCCTCATGTGGGTGGAATATCCTTTGATATTTATTTATCCCATAAGATAAATCCTACATCTCTCACTCAACCACATAAGGTGTGGCATAGTCTCAATCAACACACTTAAGTCACTTCATTCTAGTCTATCTCCTTATTGAAGGGAAAATATGAGATTTATGTGGGATTTCTAGTGACTAGCATGCATATACAATTCAAAATTTATATACGAAAGCAACGGAAGCATGTCATACATTTTATCAAAGCTATAGTCATGCAAATCCCCTTCAAGATGCATAGGTTTATATATGATGCATCAAAAACAATTTATTGAAGAACAAAGTTTAGGAGTAGTTTTATACCTCTTGATCTAGATCTAAGACCAAGGATTGACCACCTCCAAGCTCTTTGCTCCTTGAACTCCTTGAGCCTAGCCTCCCTCATTGCCTCCTCCACTTTGTTGAGAATGAGTGCTCCTAGGTCCTCTTCAAGTTTCCAAAGATATGAAAACCTCTAAAGATCCTCACCCACTTTGTAATGAGAAAGATGAAGGAATAACCAAAAAGGGTGACAAGATGATTAGCTAATTCTTCCCCTTGGTGGCCGGCCTTTGAAGTTAGAGAGAGAGAGATTTTATTTTTTCTTTTGTGTTTTATGAACCACCTAACACACTCACTCATGTTTCATCATAATGTTCCTTTTATTACATAAAGAAACAAGTCAACAATTGACCTACTCTCTCCCTTCTCTTTGGGCGGCCCTTTGTGTTTAGTTTGGGTTTTGGGCTTTTAATTATTTCAAGTCATCCAATGCTTGAATAAATGCCCAATGGGTTTTGGCCCAATGGGCCCAATTAAACCCGAACGTTTCTTTAAGCCCAAAACGATCTTTATCGCTTTTATGATTTCAAAACACTTAATTAATCCAATTAATTATTTCCTTCATCCATTAGTTACTCACTACAAGAGTGTATTGGTGAACAATCTTTTAGGTTCTAATTAGCAAGGCAGTGAGGTGATTGGCACCAATCCAATTGATTATCCAATCACTTAGTGAATTAAAACTTACTTTTAATTCACCTTCCTTTTAATGACTACATTTAATCATCTAGAAGAACTCACAAGCCATGAGTGACATCTAACCATATATCATGGCTACCCAAGCTAATGTAGAAGTTATTCGGAGAACCTATTCAGTTGGAATTACAATGTAATTCGATCCTTCTCTAAAACAATACTCTCAATCACATTACTAGGGTATGGATTTATAATGTCAAACCCCTAATGTGATTATTCCTTCTTATACGATTCATTTGAGACGTATAGGAACGCTTTCCTTTATTACGCTCGATACTTCGGCCGAAGATTCCCGAATCATATCTTGGAGTATTCATCCTCTCTTATCGAGGATTAGAGATTCCTTGTTGCGCATTCACTTGCCTTCATGGCTAAGTGGCTTAACCCCAATGATGCCTTGGACATTCGCGAATGGAATGACTTTAACATAATCAAAGATTAAGTACTTAACCACAAGACAACGACGATGCCTCAGGTCAAAGGATTACTTACATTATTCCAACCATTAGAGTTACTTGCTTGACATGTGAGTAGACCTCCATGCAAGTACTCTCGTTCGATTGTGTTCAGTGAACTCATTCCCTTAATGAGCACCTACATGCTTGTCTTAGTGTCGCTACACGAATGGGATGAGACTTTCCATCCTTCCAATTGAAGCGGACATAGTATGTACTAGTCTATGGATTGTCAGTATCCCTCCGACAATCCTTATGACCAGGAACCTTTTTGGACATGATGGTTATGAGAAGAAGGTCTCTGTAATCTAACATCATTAGGTTACTTCTTCCATCGATCCATTGTCCATGGATTCACTATTTAGGACATATTTCGTTCATTGAGATAGTCCTAATTAGTATCTTTGCCTTCCGATGTATAAGAGTCATATATATACATCAATTCATTGTCCTGAAAGGTTTCTTCCAAAGATTGACTTTCAGGGCATATTTCCAACACTTATATAGGAAATGGGACGTGCGACCTCGCGAGAAAGAACGTACATAACCAGAAGCACTGCCATTAAGCTATCACTAAACTAACAACAGTGCATCACTCAGAAGTTCATCGCTTTATACACTAAACTGTTCGTCACACACCAGACTTGACATTCTTTATCCCTCGTTATGAAATAAAAAACAATGTCATGTCTCACAAGTATCATTTATCCATGTCTTATGTTTGATAACAAATATCAAAAGACGCCGCGTAGCTAATGAATCGCATGACATGGTGTTATCTTCGAACTATTTTCCTTAAGCTCTCATTTCAGTCTAATTTGGTTTAACTGCTTGCCTAGACACACCTCTTGGGACAGTAGCAACTTGACTGTCTTAGATAAATGTGCTAAAGTGGCGATCATCAAACCTCATCTTTTTGACATAAACTTTAGTTCAAAGGGCATAAAGGTGGAATCATATAGATTCCTTGTAGTTCACATAGTGATTAAAGCAAGTATCAATTCATCACTCTCATTATCAGTCAGTTATAGCACATACAGTATGATTTGTATGTTATGGTGTATCCTTATTTTAGTGAGTGTGTCACATGTCCATTGGACATACACCATACAGATCTTAGTCTAGTCACTACACAAGCGCCTAACCTGAGTTTGCTAGCCTAGTCGCCTTCTTGGTGCCCATTTAGATACTCATATCTAGCTTTACAAACTTCAACATAAAATAAATTTCATGTTCGACTTCTGTTAAGTCTCATCTCAGACATTTCTAAGGTGACGTTTACCTTGTGCATATTGGTACATTCAACATACACATGTCCAGTCTTGCAGTCCAATGTAATGAGGACACAAATGTCACATCCTACTCACTATCTCAGGGCCAGGGTGAATTGTTCATGTAAAAAATCGATTCTAACTTGGTGACACTTGTAAAGATGTGTAAACAAACATTTCAAAAATAAACAAATATGAAATGAAAAACTTCAATGCCTTTTTACTCAATAATAATGTCAAATACAAAGAAAAAACACATCAAACCCTACATAAACCCATATTCTTTACATGAGTCATAATTGACTTTCTAATTATGGGTTTAGTCATGGGATCAGCAAGCATATTACTGGTCGAGATATGTTTCAACACTACTTGACCCTTGGTAACCTTGTTCCTAAAGAAATGATATCGTGTATCTATGTGCTTAGATTTTCCATGATCCTTAGGATCTTTAGTGTATGCTAAGGCTGAAGTACTATCATAGTAGACAAGTACAACTTCTTGAGCATAAGCTATAACTCTCATCTGTCGTAGAAACCTCCTAAGCCAAACAGCTTCTTGAACAGTTGATCCAAGGGCAACATATTTTGACTTCATTGTAGACAGAGCAAAACAAGTTTGTTTCTT